AAAAAAAAAAAGAAGAACACTTAGATTAAACTGAGAAATCAATTTTATGACGAAACTAATTTTGGTAGTTTTCTGCAATGTTTTAAAAGTCAACCCAGAATTAGAATCACTTTGGTCTCCAGTTTCTGGTTCAATGGTTCGACTGTTTGGTCCAAATAGATTGACCTGTTGTAATGTAAAAATAAAAAAAAATGTGATCTAGGTAAAATGGATTAACAAATTGACCGTCTGAATTAGTAGGTCGTGACCAAGTCAATGGTTTTGGAAGAAAAAGGGATAAATAGATGACAGTCCACCTCAGAAATCTGAAATTACAGCTCCTCCTAGTCTATTAATAGCCCCCCCTATAAACCACATCCTGATCATGAATTTAATATCGATCCATGGTTAAGATTCATCCCATCTATACGGTAGGGCTCAAATTTTTAAGGTGGACTGAACAATAAAAACCCCTTGATAAAAAAGAACAATTTAAAGGTAAAACAGAACCGATTGTATAGCCGATTTCTGAGCTGAATGGTCCAATAGTACAAATCAACAATGATTGAAAAACCATAAAGCGGCTCAATCAACATTGAATCCCTCCCAAACGGGGAATATATCTCTATATGTGCCTCTTACCACGTTGGAAATGTGAATTCACCCTTTGCTGTCATATTGTCATAAATGTCATATGGCCCATTTCTTTTTGGACTTGCCTTGAGTTTGGATCGATTAGATGTTGGGCCCCCATCCTTTAAGGCTTTACTTGCAGGCTGCATGATTAAATAATGTGTGCTTGACGTCGATACCACGGAATTGTCCACACCGCAGTTAATTGTCTTTTTTTTTTCTTGAATCTAGAGTGGCATATAGGCCATAGCCGAATTGGGATATGCTCCTCACACAAGGCACATCACACCAATCTCACATGCATATTTCACCATGCATTGAGAATATCTCCCATTAATAATAATGTAATAAGTATGGGAGATGTTTTCAATATATGGTAGGATGTCCCTGTAAGGTCGGTGTGAGGCGCCTTATGTGAGGAGCAGATCTGGTCTTTCTATAGCCACTCCACATTTTGCTATTGCCGCTCCTTTTTTTAATGCCTTTTGATTGCAATAAGTTTAGTCGACATAATACAGGTTTTGGGCATAGTTTTTAAAACTGGACTGGACCGGATGGTCGGACCGGAAAAACTAGGAACTAGTCAGGTGACCGGTTCCATTTTCTCCAAAAACCAGATTTCCCCCAAAACCATTAATTTTGGTTAATAAACCGCTGAACCAGGCGATTAACCGTTTGAACCGTTTTGACTGCTTTCTTTATTTTTTTGTCAGAACAAGCCAAACATTCAATTCAAACGATTGGACCATTCAACCCGATAACCGGACCCCTGGCCGGTTTGATTTTAAAAACCATGGTTTTGGGAGTTTGGGAGGGCAAGTTCCTGTTGTGAAGCCCATTTCATTTTCACGTAACAACAATAAATAATTAAATAAATAAAAGCAAAACTAAAAAGGTGTGGGTGGGGTAGGGGCCTAGGGGGTGGTAAAATCGATTTAATTGAAAATAAAAATATAAGAAATAATGTGGACCCATGCTATCTTCTGTTTTTTTAGAGGAAACCATGCTATCTTCTTTCCACTTAAGATCTTTAAAATCTAATATTATTTCTTTGATAAATCCCACTCTCTTTCTCTCTATCTCGACTCATTAAAAGCTACATATGTCTAATCAAATCACACTCTTTTTACTCTCTAAATACTGCCACGTGGCTAATTATGTTATATATAAAAGTGATATTAAGCCTGTGTTATCTTCGTAGAATTCTCAGATATATATTTTTTTTCTGCAAATATGTTTTCTTTTAAATTATTTGGGCAAGTGGATCCATTGTGGGCTCATTTCCAATTTGTTTCCAAAACCTTAGTGGATACAATTTGGTTGCCGCCCCCCCATCTTTTAATTCTCATATGTGAGCGCCCGGTTTGGATACATTGGCCTTTGTGTGACCTTTGTAGGTAGGTAGACCATAGATGTCTGTTACTGTCTCAATATCTCCCAAGCCTAGCATCACTGTCACGTATGGGCTCAAGCGCTTATCAATCACATAGGGGCTTTTCTCAACGTAAGCAGTTAGCATACCCCAGGCCCGGCCCAGGCTCTGGTTGAATATTGAAACTTAAAAGACTAGCACTTTACTGTCGGTATGTTCATAGATAGACGCAGACGGAAATAAAATTATCAACATCAATAGTCATAATCATCAACTTAATTCAGAGATTATCAGTCCTTCCCATAATTAGTAATGTAAATACTATGGATGGTAAAACTAAAACCTTACATTGTCAAGTAGCTTACCTTTTCTAATATAAGCCCATAGTACCATACCCATCCACCCAACTAAATAGTGCATTAATCAAATCCTCTCTCTCTCTCTTTCTCTCTCTAGATCAACAATATGGGGAAAATTCAGATATGATATTATAAGTTCACTAAACATGATTGATAGATAGGGTGAAAGAGATAGGAGTTAAGTGGGGTGGCCACAAAAAGTATGAATGGCATCCACGCCATATTAGTCCATCTTTTTAGCTACTCCTTTCTCTTTCTCTTCCTCGCTCCATTGAATTAAAGCAAACACGAAACCATGGTTTTATAATTCTGTGTTTTTTGAGCTACTCGAACAATGCCGGATACAGTGCTAACATTACCACCACCAATATAATGTTGTTACTAGTTTTCCCAGCCACATGACGCCAGCCCTTTCCAAAATAAAATAATAAAAAAAAACTTTATTTTAAACGTCTGGTGTATAATAATGTTTTCAATAAAATAAAAACCATATTAAAATAATGCCCTCTTGCTCTAATTATTATTATCTTTTGAGAAGCAGGTAAATAGAATTAGACTTTTCTTTTTAGTTCACCCAATTGGCTCTTTTGCCTTTTAGAGTTGGGTTTTGGACCAATCTATTTTATAGGGCTCGTAGATGGGCCAGATGTTGAATTGACCAGTGCATAGCCCACTAGTAATACTCCATTTATCTGCTCTACTCAGGACTTGCTAAGTGGATCATTGTGATCTTACGCCGATGCTTCTTTTCTTCTAAACGTGATGATGTGGTCCAAACCCATTGGTTTATATCTTCATGTTTTCGATTTTCCCTTTTCAGCAACGTTATATATATACACACACATATATATATATATATATATATATTGATATTAATGATTATACATATTATACACATAAAAGAGGTGGATCATCAACAACTGCAGTATGGGATGTAAGCAACAATAGATTGGGTCCAATTGTCCAAATAATGAACCTGGGCAAGTGTAGGAGTACTACTTGGGCCAGATGAATCCAGCCCATTATGTGGAGGCAAAGTCCGATCCGAATGGAGGATAATTAAGACTAGCTAGCAGTCTCATGAGTCATGGTCATTGGCCAACCGCAAGAGTAGCTTAGCTACATAACATAGGCGGTCCATGGGATTTGAGACGGAGTGGAGATTATTTTATAAATCACACACACGCCCAATATAATTGGCCTGTTTAATGTGTCCTGTGCTTCCAGAAAATTTAATGGGTCCTGAGTGAGATGAAATTCTACCTCCATCCATCGTGACTCATGGTACCAGTTCTGGGCGCACTGGCATTATGTAAAAGCCTTTTCAAGTCCCGAGCCTTGATCAGCCCAGGCCATTACTGGTTCTGTAGAGACCCTAAAACGTTTGTAGAGGTATGGTGGATTGATTTGCTTACTAGCTGCTTATGACTTGTGAGAAGCAGCTTGCCTACACGTAGGGGGTGTCAATTGGACTGTATTTGGTCCAATATGAGCCCATTATAGATGGATTTGGTCCAATCCAATCCTATGGATACTCTGGACCATTTTAAACCAGTCCAATTCAATGTCCGGACCGTACAGATTGGTTTTAATTTTGATGGGTTCCAACTCAAATCTGGTCTATTGACACCTATATTCTTATATTCTATCAATGGGCCAGATGTTGGTTCAATCCAACCCAGTCCAATATAAATCTATTATGGATGGATCAATAATAAATACTTTGGACCATAAAATATGTCTTATTAATTGGTTCAATTCAATATGTCTTATTATTGGTCCGTCCAATCCCTAGAAATTGATTTTGATTTGAACAGGGTCCAATCCAAAACCAGTCCATTGACACCCCTACTTACACGAAACGTCGAAACCCAGAACACCTCTCCTCTGCCGCCCATACTTTTAGCCTTTGTCTTGTTGTTCTTTTTCTTTTCCTTTGCAATTGCATGGCTTGCTCTGTTATCTCCATGCCACTCCGGCCTTTTACTAAAAGTTAAGGGGCACTAGTATATTCTTGGAACCAGACAAACAGCTCTTAGCGATTTTTACGACTCGCTTCATTCCTTTTGATCGAGCAAGTCTTTCTTTTTTCATAAGGCTTTCCTTTTTCATATTTATACAGCTAGCTTTAAGCAGCTGCTTTGTTACTGTAACTTCATGGCCATGAAAGCAACCACATACTACATAAAGATCATTGATCAGGATTTAGGAGCAATGTATATCAGCTCCAGCCTCTGGATGTTCATGTTTTCACTAGATTTTTTTTTTTTTTTTTGGGGTTGAATGTAATCACTTCATTTGCACTTTTATTATACTGAGAATTTCTAGTGGGCTTCTATACTAATTAAAATTAAAGAATTCCAACCTCTTAATGATCCTCAAAATTCAAAGGATATATATGCATGTACCATGGAGTGCTTGATTAAATATCTTATTAATGAGGGATCACATACGAAAGAGAGGAGAATAGGGCAGGAGGTAGGCGTCACAGCTATTAGCTAGGATGGTCCCACTCAACCGGTTGCAAGCAAAGCCAAAGCAAGCGTGCATTATATGGGGTCCAAGGGCCCAAGGCTCTGGCTGGCTTGAACAATCAACCATTATATATAGATAATAATATATAGAACGGGGACATCTACGTAGGCGACGGACCCAATCCCACCAATCAATCTGTTAATATTTATATACTACTACTACAACATCAAGTAGTAGACTAGCACTAGCAGGTGGTACGTGGTGGAGTCTAGAGCTCAGTTATTTTGTTTTGAGACAAAAGCGAGAAGCCAAAGCCAATAACCCCCAATCCCTCCATACGTAGTGCAGCTGAGCTCCTACTCGGCTACTCCCCAACTCAACTCAAACTCAAAGAGGGACAAGGACAAACAAGTTAACGAAGATGGTGATCATGGTGCAAGAAGAAGTGCGTAAGGGTCCGTGGACTGAGCAGGAGGACCTGCAGCTGGTGTGCTTCGTTGGCTTATTCGGAGAACGACGATGGGATTTCATAGCCAAAGTTTCAGGTTGGAAGGTGGCGGGGGACAGTTATCAGTAGTAGCCTAGTAGGTAGTGTAAGTAGTACTAGTAGCTAGCTAGGTAAGCTTTATTTGGAGTTGGAGGGGGGGTGGGGGGACCTACCTTTAACCACCGCCTCATGGTTTTGTTGTAGGTTTGAACAGAACAGGAAAGAGTTGCAGGTTACGATGGATTAATTACCTTCATCCCGGCCTCAAGCGAGGAAGGTTGACACCTCAGGAGGAGCGCCTCGTGCTTGAACTCCACTCTCTTTGGGGCAATAGGTTTTTTTTTTTTTTCGGTCTTCATAATTTTTTAACCCATTTAATCAGTTGCTTCCTCCTTTCTTTCTTCTTAATTAATTACACTACGCATGTCTCCACTTAATTGCTGATGATGACTGATGAGCTTCGACCTTAATTACTCACTCACAGATGGTCCAGAATTGCTCGGAAATTACCCGGCCGAACTGACAATGAGATAAAGAATTATTGGAGAACACACATGAGGAAGAAGGCACAAGAGAGAAGACGATCTTCATCACCTTCATCATCGTCTTCTCAGTTATGTTCTTCTCCATCCACAAATAATATTAAACCTCCGCCGGTTTCGTTGCCCGAAGCGGCCCAGAATACTACTGGAGATGGAGAAGGATGGTTGCAGGATTATGGTGCTTCTGGCGATTTAGCTGTGCAGACAAGAGAGATGAAAGAGGAGGGAGGTCATGCATTAATAGGAATAGGATACCCCATGGATCAGATATGGAAAGAGATTGCTTCACTGGAAGAGGTGAATAGTAGTGAAATAGTAGTTTCCGAGGGATGTAGTAACGACCAAGGGTACAGTTCCTATTGCTCTTCAGTAGTCACTTCTCCTTTATGGGATTATTGTTGTTCGGACACACTGTGGAAAATCGACGAAGAAGACGTCAAGATGTTGCTTCCGGCATCGGGCATGCATGATAAGTGTTGAAGACCAAAATTTTGATCATCCCAATCCATAGCTGTCATATATACGACGACCTTCTTAGACAGACTCTGTAATCTCTCTAGCATGTGATAAACCATGGTTTGTATGTGTGTTCTCTCCAAATAGGAGACTTCCTCATCTTTTCCCATTATGTATTCACATATGATCATGCATGCTAAGACAGTTTCATAGTAAAGAGAAGTTCCAGCAGGCTCTAAAGCGTTTTTTTTTTTTTGTGTGTGTGTTAATTTATTTGTATATTCTAATGCCTAAATTAATTAGATTTCATATATAAATGATTTTTTAGTCTATTAGATAGATAGATAGATTAAATGGGCTTAAACAAAGATTAACGGGGATGCCCCTAAGATGGCAGCAAATTAATCCAAAACCAGCAAACTTGTTAATTAATTTTGCTCAATAAACTTTGTACGACTTCTATTAACCTTCATATACTAAATTACCAATGGATCAATATATATATTAGACACCCTCCAATACAAATTGCCCTGATGAACAGCTTCAAGTACAACTGTGTTTTCCTTGTTATTCTGTTGTTTGCTTGGTGCTTGTGGTGTTTCTTTGTTATGATTCTTGTTATCTGATTGTGGATTACCAAAAAAAAGTACAACTGTGTTCACAAAAATATCATTTTTCAGAATGTGTGTCACAACCAAATTGTTTCAATAATTAACGTAGAAGATATTGGAAAATGAGGTCACTATATTTTTGGAGGAGAAGCTCTAAGATGCATCTGAAGACATTGTCTTTAATCCGTTCCCAGGATACAACAGAGCCTTGGGCGAGAATTTGCAACCAGCAAAATTGAAGAAACTCCAAAGAAACCTTCTGTGAGATTGTAGCAGATCGGACAGAGAGAGAGAGAAAGTGGATTTCGAAAATGTGTGTTTTTGAAATCTGATTCATGCTCGTTAAATAGTTTATGAAGAGGTATGAAGAAAATGTAGGTGCTGGTTCAGAGAAGGCACCTTGAACAGTCACAATTTCAAACATTGCAACTGTTTAAAAAGTAGTTAACAATTAATGATTGTTAACTTTGAATTGTGCCTCTTGATCACACCTAATCGAATCGTGACCATTGATCTCATCAACGGTGATTAACGGTCAGTATCGCACCAAAACCAAAGTGCACCTCATAGCGCCACACACACGCACGCACACGCATTGCATGATTATCAAACCCCCATACTCTCATCTACTATTTCTAAGGAGTGTAAATCAACTCCTATTAAAATACTGAAAACAATGCTTATAATTTTTCAATGTGGGACAAATACAAAACTGAGTTTTGTAAGAGAAAAATTAATTTTTCAATCAAACGTATATGTGCAATTTCTCATGTAATTGACCAATCAAATCCATTGGATTTAATCTCTTATGAAATTAAAATGCAATAAAAGATTACAACTCCAAATTTAATACTCAAAAGGATTTACTTGTAGAAATTGCTCATCAACTCCCGCCACCATCAACATTCCCATTTCCCTCTCACTGGTACTTTTTCCTTTTGTTGTTGAATTTGAAGGTAGCTTCTGAAAGACCGATTGATAACTTATAACTTGACCTACTCGATCGAATCGCTTATTGATTTGTCTTTTACTTAAATAAAATAGAAATATTCAGAGGTAAAGTAGTCTACCGACATGCCATTCAGCAGTTAAGTGGTTGCACACTACTTTACTTGTTCACTAAGAAAATAACCTAATTGACAAGCAATTCAGTTCAGCCAACTCCCTGTTATCAGAGGGTCCTAGGTGACCTTAGAAGATGTGAACAAGATGGGTGCATTTACTTTGTTAATTTAATCAAACTGTTGTTATTGTCGTGACGTTGTTATTTACTATTGTTTTTGTTCGAAAGGATGGTTACCTTTTGGATAAGGATAGGGGTCAAGGTCGCATGCATCTGAATCAATTAAAATTTATCTTGTGGTGTTCCCTTAGCTAATTCATAATTAAAAGTTGGGTGACAAAAAGAGGGAGCTAGGAGAGGAAAGGGGGGAAGAGGGTCTAATACTTGCATAGGGCAGTTAGAACATGAAGACTTAGGTGATAAGATAGATACATCAAAAAGCTCTTTCTTTTGCTTTTTGCTTTTTGCCTTTTCCAAGTATGAGGCTTAGTGGCTTAGCCACTCAAATCCATCATCCCCTATATTTTAATTGCTGTTGCTGCCTTTTTTTTTTTACAAAAAAAAAAAAAAAATCTGTTTCTCCTAGTCCAGTTTGTTTCAGTCAACCCAGAATATGCTGATGAATGATGATGATCCAGTAGCTGAGATGGTCATTCAGCACTCTTCTGAACATATATAGAAGCGTGGGATCAAACCTACGTAACTGCAACAAGGCCAAGTGGACCTCAGGTACACTCTTCCCTGTCTCCACTCCTTAATCTCATTTGATGTGATGTAATACCAAAATAAAAGGGCCTAGAACATATATATTGGTCATAATAATCCAATTCAGTTGCTTAGGTAGTAGTGGCTCCATATCAAACGACAGCACCAAAAACCAACTTATATTCTAAAAGAAAAAGAAAAAAAGATCCACTAGGAATCTGAGGATATCTTAAAGAAACATAAAAGAAGCCGACGATCCCATGTACATTGCTCTCTTTTCCATTGACCTATACACCACCACACGCACCAGCCGGGTCATCTTTAGATCATTCGAAATGTTTCTTTTTGTTTTCTGTTTTGGTACCCAACCTGTTTTTTTGTACAAGGGATCTGAATTTCCTCAACAGGTCCCATGTGCTGTATATATGCTTATTCCTTATTGATCACATGTCACGCTTACACGAGGGGATGAGCTAGGGGTTTTTTTTTGGACGCCTAAAAAGGCAAAGATCATTGACAAATGCTCGGAATACAGCTTGAGATATTACAATCAATAAGAATCGCCAGAAGTGAAATAAACAATAGAGAGATAATCCTGTTCATAAACCGCAGACCAATCTGTTGATCCTGAGCACCGGGAGAGAAAACTTGTGAGGCTTTTGCAAACGGTGCAAACTTGTGAAAATGCCACAGGGAGGGGCCGGCCATCTGCCTCCAACAGAGTTAACACTCAACAAGAGACTCCCAAAAAAAGAACCACCATCCACTAATGCTGAAATAAGGTGGGGTACGAACAACTGATTACGAAGATCAACCCCATCCCAAGGCAATCAAAGTTCGAAATTTCACAGCTGATGGGGGGAAAGAGAAAGCCAAAAACCTTCTCCGCCAAAACCAAAAGTTACAATCACCAAACAAAACATCTTGCCCAATAAAAGATTCTTAAAAGTAGGTCGCAATACTTTGGCCCATACCAAGTGTCCACCTTCCAGGAATCCTTAAACTACTACAAGAACAATGTAGCCCACATCCCATCCGTCATAAGAAATCCCCAAATTTCCACTGCAAAGCTCGCCTCCATAGGTGACTGACCTCCCTGTGGCATTGTAAGAAGAAGACACAGTAATAAACTCAGGAAGTTATCAAAATATTTTTTTTGGGTAATAAATAAGAAAATTTATTAAGAAAAAAGAAAGAGTTTACAAGATAGGTGATAAGAAATCACCTGCAATAAAGAAAAAACAACCCTAAAACCAAACATCATCTAAACTTCAAACATGATCTTCCCAAAGCCAAAATAAAGGAAAGCATCCGACCCTGAGCTAAAAAACAAAAAACAACAAAAATTGAAACTACACCTTTCACTAACAAGAGATAATTCCTAATCCAGCCGACCCTCCAAACAAGCCACAAATTATGGGCAAAGCCCTACAATTAAATAACACTACAAACCACCCTTTGATCTGCACATCAGATTTGCCCGATTACTCAGCTTATTCAGTGACTGAAACAGAAACCTCTTCTCTTATTAACTTTCTTCGATTTCTTTACCTTCTCAGTGGCAAATACTTTTGACACCTAAACAGTATGATCACTTTTCTGACTTCTGAACTGTCTAACTGTGTTTAGCATCAACTCATGAACCATTGGTTTCTTGGATTTATCATTGGTCCTTTCTAATTCCAAAATCCACTCCTATCCTTCTTTCTGTTTCTCCTCTCTTTTTTCCAGCTTCCTAATCACCTGTCTTGCTACTTCTCTCCCTAAAAAAACTGCCAAACACCTTTCTTTCCTTTTTCTAACTTGCTTGTGCAGGACCCACTGTCATTTCTGTTGTTTGGCATCTTATATCTTTCTTCTAACTCTTTAAACATTCTTCTAGAAAATTCCTTTCCTCCTATGAATCATAGACCAAACACTTTACTCACTTTAAATTCAGTATTCACAATCTTTTCCGAATCTATTGTTTATTCAATCATGAGTTTTTTCATCCACATGAATTTAGTCTTCATTCTTTTGCTGGGTCCATCTTCCCCTTCAAGTGTTTCAACGTCAGAACCTGCCTGATTATTATCCTGTAATGGCTTGGCTCGGTCCATCTTCCCTGCTTCTAGTTTCTCCCTACTTTTCTTCTAGCCCCTCAAAATATCATAAATTTGAAAAATTAGCAAAATCTGAAACCTAGTTGTTACCTACCGATAAAACAATGGCTTATTATATGCATTATGGTTACTATTTATATAAGGCAAAATCTGTTCCAAGGATCATACAAATCTCCACGTGTTATTTACATGAAGGAACAGAATCTCAACCACTAAACCAATCTGACCTAAGAGATCAAACTGAACCCACTTCAGCTGAACAAAACTTAATCCAAAACAATTTGGGATCATTTGTATGAATCTTGTTTCATCTTCCGCTCTATTATCTGGAACAAAATCAGCCTGAACCAATGATTACATCAATGGGTTTTACTGCATTCCTATGTATGAATGAGAAAAATTGTACAAACTCAAGTACGACAATATGTTCAGTTTGGGGAGATCACTCTATGGGTCCCATTGTGGAAACCAACAACTAACTCGAGTCATGATTAAGTGCAATTACTGCAAGTATAATGGAAAAAAAAATTGTATTAAAACTCTTTGAAGGTTCTGAAAGACAATGAATAGATCCGATGGTTGAAAGACATTTGATCATGATATTATCTAGGCCCTAACTCGCAACTTTGAGTCCTGTGACACTACAACCTGATAATTCCCCAAGAGAAAGCTCCAAGAGTAGTACACGAAATTAGATAGCTAGTTGGTGCAAATATGGAAGCAAAGGAAGAAATGGAAGGCAAGGTCAAATGACACAACTTTCAGAATGC